ATATATGTATGTATATATATATTCAATCAATCATATAAAAAAAACTAGACATACCCTTTCTAAGAAAAAAACATTTGCCCCCGCTACCCCTTAGCCTTCAATCGTAAACAAACCTCGAGAAAGATGGCGCCGCGAGTCCCAGACGAAATTGACGTTTTCACCGTCCCACACTCCAGGATGAAGGAACTCGTTAATATATACACACAAAAGGTATCATTTCACCTTTGTGTAGTTGTGTTGCCATTTCTCTAGGATGTATTAATTGTCATGATGTATTAATGAGCTTACGGAGTTGGAGTTAAAACAGTTTTTCCCTCTTGTTTATCCTATTATCCTTTTTTCAGTTATTTATTAATTGACCATTATTTCTAAGTAATGAAGCAAATGAAGTTGAAGTCAAATATTCATGCATTGTTATGCAGATGATGACTTCAGACTGTGTGATATTCGAGGTCAAATGCATTTTTCCCTGAAGGACAGAATTTGATAATTACAGTTGACAGTTGTGATTAAACGTTGTAATAGATAAGAATGACAAGTGGAAAAGATTGCAAATTGTTACTTTCCCAGGATAGGTTTGCATTAGGAAACCCATCAAATTTGGAATGAGTGGACTCCTGTTGATATCTTTGAAACAAATAGACAATTGCACTGTGAGTCAAGTGAAACTGACAGATATGCACAATATGATCTGTTAATAATTTTCTTTTTAAATTTTAGAACAGGACTGTATAGACCAATTCGGTAATGCCTAGCAACCGCCCTTAGCAACGAGTACGGTCAAAACAAGCCCTTGTTCGTTTGAAAACTCACTGCGCTTTGCTTGCAAAGTTGCTGTATTTTTCCGAGAATTTAGTTTTTTTTGCGTGAAAATGCCAAGGTGCTGTGTTGCCTTTGGTTATTCGAACCACAGCATGATGGGAAATAAAGGTTTAACCTTTCATATATTCCCAGATTGTGAAAAGAAACCTGAATAATGGAAACGATGGGTAGGCCTACAGGCCATGAAATGCATGAACGCTGATGGGAGTGCTTGGGCGCCTGGTGGAAAATATGTGTACATGTGCTCTGAACATCTTATTGATCTACATATTAATATGTTACACCTTTTCAAATTCTAGAGGCACAATTTCTTTCAAAATCTATCTATCTACACTATCTACCAAGGTCAAATAAGGTCAACATTATTGACATTAGGTTTTGGCACAGTCATATACCATAAAAAGAACAACAGCAGTTTTATTTTTTTCTTTGTAATAAATTTATTTCTTATAGTTTAAATTTACAGGCAAACCATCCCCAGATCCAACTCGCCCAGACTTTACGCCAAGTGTCTTCAAGCACTGTCCGTTTGATGAAAACGAAGCAGGCATACAGTTGCCTGTTGCCTTTGTGTCTGAAATGTCATATGGTCCAGCAAATAAAACAACTGAAGAGGGCTTATCTCTCGTGGTTGAATTATTGATGAGAGAAAAATGCTTTGTGTGCTTGAAGGCCTTTTCGTGACTTCAGTGTTTCCTTTGTATAAATCTAATAAATGGGAGGAAAAGTGATGTTAGGAAATGGCCAGATTTCACAAAAAAATACCCTATATAGCTAAAAGTCAGATTACTGTAGCAAATTATGTTTTCACAGAGTTATTATTATTTCCCAGTATGTTGGGAAAATAGTTGTAGATGTCGCAGTATTCAATGTTAGGTCTTTTCGAAGGATTGTTGATCCCAATTTTGGCAGGCAGATGTATGGGCACTCTTTCAGCTGCAGAGTTTCTAGTTTTGCTTCATATTGCGTTTTGCTTCAGTTTTTGAAGAATCAAATTAAATGCCATTTTCGCTCACGCTGATAGCGAGGTATCCGCGAGTGACGGGTTTGTTTTCACCAAGCGGAATGGTGACTCCAACTGTGACGGTGACCGAATCGGTCTATATCTCGGAATGTATATACCTAATTTGAATTTAGAGACACATGAACCCCATTTGAAATGTATAAACTACTACCATAATAACCGTATGAACCAAAAACTTTCTTGAGCTGGTGACTGTGCACTTTGACTGCCCATAATTTGTTTTATTGCCCTAGAAGGTGTATACTTTAACCCTGTAAATATTGTGAGCGCTGTTGGTTGCAATATGATATATATGTAAATATTTAGTATAAACTTGCTTAATGAGTGCACTCATTTCTTTAAAACTTTCATGCAGTTGATTACACCATTGGATGAGGTATATAATTTTCTTAAAAATATGGTATACATTGATCCTCCATACTTTAAGTAACTCACCAAATTATACAACTATAGACTGAGGGAAGGCTGTTTACCTCACGGATGTTCTGCCTCACCTGATTCTTAACATCACATATAGGCATGTCTTTCATGTGTGTCTGAGTTTCTATCTTGCCCCCAAACCACCCTTCCCTACAGTGGCCAAGAAGAATTTGGGGTTCACGTATGGCTTGATACCTGGGTTGTAATGTCAGGTGATAAGACGGAGCTAATAAG